CGGCCTTGAGCCACACCGCAGAGTCGCCAGTGACAAGGCTATGGCTTGCAACAAGCGGAAGCACATGCTCGAACTCGGCGACCGTCAAGTAGTCGGAGAAGAGAACATGGACGCCCATCTCGGTCTTGGCACCAATGACAACCATGATGCGACTAGTCGGGAGACATGGCCAGAAGCCCGGAGGAAAGCAACCCGAATAGGGATCTTCTTCTTCTCCCCGGCCGGCTCGGACAGCCTGAGACTCGCCCGCATCTTTTTCAGCATACGGTTGCGTGTTGCGGCCCAGGGCGAGTTTTGGTCCACATCCCTGCACAAACGGTCGCGAGGCCTCATGCAAACATTTGGTGCTGCAATGGGACGGTCGGTCGTGTCTGCCCCAAAGCAGATGTCGTCGACGTAGTGCTTTGCCCACGCCGAGTACTCGCCGAGCGCCCTTCGTTCGTCCCAAAACCCAGGGGTTTGCTTCGCGCCCATCGAAGCTCGTAGCATCGAGTACGAAGCTCCGTCGTCAAGCATGACGGACATCAGCTCCGCCTTCTCGGCGTTGACCGGGCATGCCCAGAACGCCGAGCTGATGTCGAGGTAGGTGTAGCACTTGTGGCGACCGAGGCCGAGGAGCACGTCGTTGACGGTCGAGGTCGTCAGTGGCGACGACATGATCAGGCTGGTACCCTGTGCGGCGAAGATCGGATGGACGTCATTTTGGTCCGTCTGCTGCTCTGTCGACGTGTTCATACTCATCACAAACGCTGAAACACACCAAACGAGGCGTTGAACGGTGGGATGGTACTGGGGTTGAGCGCGATGACGTCACCGAGTGCGAAGCAGACATTGACGCGCGATCCGGCGGCGTCGGTCGGCGACAGAACCGTGCACGAGTCGACGACTGCAGTGCCGACCGGAGGCAAGCTGTTGTCCCCAAGCCACAGCGATACTGTGGCGGCGGCGGGCATGTGCGAGACAATCGTCATGTCGGACAGCGGCCGCCCGAGGTTGGCCGTCACATCGAGTACGGTTGTTGTCGTGACCGACGAGGGGAGCGACGACGATGTGTTCGCCCACGAGAGCGTGACCTCACCGCTGCCCAGCGCCATGACGACGCCGGCGCTTGTAACGTCCTGGCCCAACACTGTCCGCTTGCCCCCGCCGGCCGCATCGAAGTGGAACGTCAACTCACCGACGTACCCAACGGCACACCCGTTCAACTTCGACCGGTACGAGTACCCCAATATTGCAAGCTCGGCAGCGAAGAGTGCGGAGACTGGGGCGACCGGGAGAGGCGAGCCGTCTGGCCCAAGCCGCGCCACACACGAGGTGCCAAACGCAAAGCCCAGTGACTCCGGCGCGTTCGAGTCGTTACTACCTTCTGCGGACAGCGACGATACTGCACCATCGGTGACAGCGAGGAAAATCGGGGCTGCGAGCGCGGCGAGCGGCATGGCTGGTAGCGGAAAGCCCGGCCGCCCACCAAACAGCTCAGCCGAAAATGCGCCGGCGAGAAAAACAGACCCGTCGTTGACATACACGCGTGCGACACCAGAATCCATCAGCGTCGCGTTGTTGGCAAACATAAACGCTATGTCGGTCCCGCCGGTCTTCCCTACCTCGACAACTGCGCCCGACCCATCCACACGCCCCGGTGCCTCGACAACAAGCACCGGGACGCCACCAAGCTCAAGCACAAATGGCGAGCCGCCAGTCACAACGTTGTCCACGCTCACCACTCCACCAGAGAACACAAACCGGAGCTCGCGTGGGTCGGCACCTGCAGTGATCACTGCCGTCCGCGGCGCGCCGGGCCATCCCGACTCACACACAATCTTCACTGGGCACGTGAGCCCAGTTATCACGCTCTGCGATCCGAACGTGAGGTGGTGTGTCCCCGGCCCCGACAACACGAGCGTGATCGACGCGGACGACGAGCACGAAGGCACAACAGTGGAAACCACCGCACCAGCCTCGGCACGAGCGGCGACGACGAGGGTCGCGTCTGGGATCGCCGACATGACCGACACGTTCACGCGCGCGCCTGCGCCGGCCGTCACGTCGAGATTCATCACTGGGATGTTGACCACGGCGACATGGTGGGTGCCCGAGACGGTTCCATTCGACGAGATAAGCGTGGCCCGCAGGAGGACGGTGAGCGCCTCGCCGGGAACTGCCGAGAGGGACACATTAGCCCGGTTCTGCGCCATCGCCGTGCTTCCGCGCCCGTCCACACTCACAGCGCCGCCGAGCGCCATAAAGTCGGGGAACAAAAACGTGTTGGCCGTCGACAGCGTCCCGAGCACCCGCACCGTCCTGTCCGTCGGGTTGGACGCCACCGTCAACACCTCAAACGACGGTGGCACCACCATAAGCGTCATCAGTTTTGGTGACACGTTGGCAGCCATAGCGTCAGCGCTTGCCCCACCAAGCACGTCCGACGCGGTGAGCCCTTCCGTCGACAAGTGGATGTGCGGCGCAGCCACAGCCATGGTCATGTTCCGGATTGAACCGGTCACTTGAACTGGCTGCCCGCTGTACACGCCCCAATCGCCACTGACGACCACGTTCGAAAACGGGACCGTCGAAACCGACGTCGAGCACGGAATGCCGCCGACGTTGAGCGGCGCAAACGCAACCGGCGACGAGATTGCGAGCGTGGTGCACGCGCCAGCCCCACCAAACCCTAGCCCCGCCGCCGACAACGGTCTGTATCCAGACGGGCTGAGGTTGAATGCCGTCGACGTTGCATACTCGGCCTGGTTGGCCTCAATTGCCACGTCACCGCGCGGAACCTCGATAAATGGCGGCACAGCGTGCGCTTCAAACGTCGTCGGCACAGGCACAGCACTGCTCGACCCCACCGTGCTCGACACTGCCAGCGGGTGCGCCGTCACCAAGTACGCGCCGGTGACAGAGACCGGACTGAGCCCAGGCTCACCAGCGAGCGCCGCCACGCGTCCAAACGCGTCAGCGTAAACGGACAAGAGCGCCCGGCCCGACGCCGCCGCAGAAACTACGCAGCCGTTGCAACTCCGGCTCGGCCCACTCTCCATCACTGCACCCAAGTTGAGCAGCCCCGATGACGACATGACCGGCGATAGCGGCGGCGGCGCCCACGTCTCCGACCACAGCGTAAACATTTCGTCGACGTTAACAACGTTCCAACAGAGCGTGTGGAACGGACGCCACATGCAGAGCTTGACCCAGATACCGATCCCGCCTTCCAGTTGGAGACTCACCATGAACACCTTCTTGAACTCGCCACCGACGGCGGCAACCAGACGCATGATCTCGCCTTCGGTCACCCACTTACCGTCGTTAACCGTTCCAATTCGCACTTGCCCGACAAGCAGCAGCTCGACCCAGGCTTCAGCCCGGATAAAGTAGACGTCAAACAACAGCCCGCCGCGAATCCCGATCGCGGCCTTGAGCGGGTAGTGAAGCGAGCCGTCCGAGTTTCGCGCCTCAATGGCGACGCCCTCGAGCACGAGGAGCGGCTTGTGGTACTTGACTGCGTCGACGAGGCCGGCCGACGTGAGCACAATGGGACCCGTGTCGATCGACACGGCCCACACCAGCTCGACGTCAACAAATAGAAACGCGTAAATCGGGAACCGCCAACCGACCACACCCATGGCCGCCACCGACGGAATGTCGAGCTGAACAAGCACCACGTCTGGGTTCCCGATTACCAACTCCACGAACAGCTGCCCATAGTTCCCATCCTCGAGCGCCGGAAACGAGAGCGCGACTGAGTCCATCACCTCGAGGCATGCAGCCTTGACCGACGATCCTCCTGGCCCCCAGTTCGTCACCGAGCTGCACACCACACCGTGAAGATCTCCCATTTCAAGTCGTTCTCCCACTCCGCCTTCCGCAACCGGAGTAGCCGTCGACCAGTCAACCGAGAACGGCGTCCCACTTACCATCCCGTTGTCGTCGTTGCACATTCCCTCCATGCCTTCAGTGCCCAGCTTCTTCACAGCCGCCAGGATGTCGACAATCCGGATGTACAGCTCGACAACTGTCACAATGCTCTTCAGGTCGTCGCACGTCCGCGCGTCCGACTCGACAGCATAGCACACGTCGACAAGCAAGTCGAGAATGTCGGTTCGCTGCCCGATAAGAAACTCGGCAATCGGGATGTTCTCCTGCAAGATGTCAAGCCGGTCATTAATTGGCCCAATCCACGCCCCGATCTTGTCAACGACGCCGACGAGGAGCGAGCCGATGTACGAGCCGAGACAAAACTTGAAACCCGTGACCTCGAACGAGTGTGGGACCGTCGTCACAACACCACTCCCCGTTGAAAACCCAAACGTGCTCACAAACGTTCCCACCATCCGCGGGTACTGGTTGAGTACGCGCGGAATGTTCGAGTGCGCCGCTGCCCCAAACGCAACGCCGATGTTGCCCGCACCACCAAGCCCTCCCACAGCCTCCATAGTCAAACTCCACCTACCCGTTGCCGGCGCCCGGAGGACCTCGACCTGCGCCCCAAACCCGGTGTATCGCGGGTCCATCACAATGTCCATAAACCCTGCGCCAAACCGCCCGACTGCTGAACAGCTTTCCGCTGGGTACGGTGGAAGTGCGAGCATGAGCTCGCCTCGTCCCACCACCTCTTCTGGGAACGTCACGCTGATCCCGTGTGTCATCCGCGCGTTGAGGTTGAACGACAACGTAAGGTTAGCCACCAGGTTAATGTTGCAGTCCAGCTCGAGCTCCACTGCAGGCCGCCCGTGCGCAAGCTGATGGGTCACCGACTCGACCAACTGGCGCCGGATCACGTCCACAAACCGGAATGGCCACACGTACTGCTTGTCGTGAACGTTAGGTGGTTCCATGGGAACGAGACCGTACGGCTCGAACACGTCGTTGAGCACAGCCGTGATGATGTCGAGCGCAATCTGGCCGAGCTGATCCAGGTCACCAAGCGTCAGCTTTGCATCGGCCAGCAGCGCATCGAGCTTCGACGAGATGCCCACCTTGAGCAGCTTTTCCACGTCGGCCGACATGAGGTCGTTAAAAAAAGCCGAGATGAGTTCCCACGGTAGCTTGCCCAAAAACGCCACGTCCGCCCCACCCCACACCCCAATGTTGAACAAATCCGAGGTGAGCCCAGCCAAGAACTGCTCGAGCGCTCCAAACAACGCGCCCGGGTCCCGCGCCATCCACTACGAAAAATCTCGACTTGATGATGGCGTTGATGATAGCTTGGACGAGCTCGGCCTTATTGGTGCACAACGGACCAGTCACACTTGTGTCCGGCGCTGCGCCGTTGAGGAAAGCGTGGAGCGACGGGACCGAAACTTCGAGCACACACACGACGTTGGGCGCAGGTTCGAGCGTGCCCTTGATCAGCGCTGCACCGTCAATGGTTACGCGGCCAGCCGGTGGTGCGGTGGTCGAGAGGTCGATCTCAGCTCTCGCCGCCCCACTCCCTCCACCCAGCTTCCCGACTTCAACGATCGAGTTGACCATCGGGAAGTCGAGCGACCCAAACGTGACGTCAAACGTACCTTGCGCGTCAAGCTCAAACGTGACTACCACATGGGACCCAGACGCCAATGCCACAATCACTGGCCCACCCTCACCCAGCCCAGAGATCACCACCTCGAGCTCGATAGACACGCTAACACCAGCTACGAGTGCACCGGCTGTTGAGAGACCCACGCCAATTTTGTCGGAGTCGAACATTGTGACAGGGTTGAGCGCCAGCGTCTCCTTCGAGTCGGCTCGCCACGGATGCGACGTGACCACCGGGATGGTGATCGTATCTGGGGTAGCTCTCCCGCCACCCATGCACGTGGCACCCGGCGCCACGTCGGCCATCACCGAGTTGCACAGCTTGGTCACCGTCATGTGCCCACCAGACGCGCACGTGCTTGCTGCTAGCGCTGCCAGTGCCTTGGACGCCGTCTCGATGATGGGGGCGGCAAAGGACGACGTGATGCCTGGGAGCGGAGTGTGGAGCGAAACCTCGGACTCGAGAGCCTCGCCCACCGCTGCGAGTGTAGCTGAGAACGCCGAGCACAGCGTGGTGTTGTGAACAAGCGCGCTTTCCACCATTGCCACAGTCGAGCTCGGCCCAGTGACCGACGGGCGGAGCGTGGTCGCGCTGGCTACCGCGCCAAACAGGGCAGCGTGCGACACAATGTTGCCGTCGACGCCGGCCTGCAGCTGCACCGTGTCGAGCGGGTCGACGCCGGCCGTGGCAATGTCGAGCTCAACACCAGCTGCAGCAATTGCCGTCACCGACGTGAACGACAATTCCCACATATCATAAAACCGGGCGTTGGACGAGTGCGATCCGCTTGCCGCAGCAGAAGTTGTTGGCCACATCTCAGGCGTCGCTCCCGGCGGAAGCCGCAGCGTCAAAGAGACTGCGGCTGATGTCGACGCGCTCACTCCGTCTGCGCTGAACCCGAGAATCCCGTACGCGCCGGAAGCAGAACCCGCAGACGTCGCTGCCGCTGCCACCATCGAATACGATGTGGCGCCGACGAGCTGGCGGATCCGCGGGATCTCGCGACCGAGCCGCTTCGGGAGACCGGGAATGTAGCGCGGGACATCGACGGCAAGCGAGATCGGGACGGCAAGCGCCCCGCCGTAGAGCGACGGTGGGAGATACGCGGCACCGAGTCCGTACTGGAGCTGCCGACTCGTCCGGTTCGACCACGCTCGCGGCTCGATCACCTTCCACACTGCAGTGGCCGACACGACCCCATCGCTCGTCGCGCCCAACGCGCTTGGCAGCGCGTCGACAACGAGGGCACCAGGCTCGAGGTGAAGCGTAGTGTTGACGACGACGCGTGTCGGCGTTGCGACAGTTGACCTGTTGGCCAGCCGTGGGTACAGGTCGACGACGGCTGTGAGAACGACGGTGGTGTTGGCGGCCGGCACACGTGCCGTATCGATGGAAAGGTGAGCGCCTGCGGCCGCTGCCATTGGCGAAAAAGCGGTCGACACGGTCGTGTTTGACGTCACGCCGGGGCTGCACCCCAGCAGTACGCCGTATGTTGTCGTTGCAGTCACGTTCACGAAAACGTCCACCGGGTCCGTTGCAGGAGCGTCGAGTGTGAGTCGGACAAGCGAGTTGTCGGCGGCAACCGAATTGGCAACAACCGACGGATGGAGGGTGAGCGGGGTGGTGAGCGACGTCTCGAGGTCGAGCGCAATAAACGGGAGCGACGACGGAAAGTACTCGCCGCTGTCGGTCGGCGACGTGCTCGGGATGGGCGCACACGACGCCGTGCTCGACGCCACTCGCGAGACGAGAGGAACGACAGTGGAGCGTGTGGTCGATCCGGAAGCAACAGGCGGTGCAATGAGGGCCGTGAACATGGCCGCCGCGTCGGGAAACGACGACGCTTGCGGGACAACCGCAGACGAGAGAATGATCGGCGTCTTCACAAAGGTACCTTCCGCTGCCGTTCCCGTGCTCCTTATCTCGGCGCGAGCGACAAGCCCTCCAACCGAGGGGGAAAAGGCGATTGAGCCACACGGTGCTGTCGGTGCTCCATGCCCAAAGCCAGCCGCATAATCGGGCGATTGGCGACAGGGTCATCGACGTCGTCCGGTTCGTTGTCCCGTCGGAGCGAAGCGGCGCGGCCTTGCGCTGCTACAGTCCTCTGCCGAATCCACCGCCGGAAAAAAACATTGTGGCAGCCAAGCCTCTCTCTCCAACATGAAGAAAGGGACAAGCATACCCAGCATGGTAACGACACTCATGATTGTGAGCGAAGGGTGTCGTTCGAAGGAGACCCCTGTGTCAGTAGAGGTGCTGACAACAGGGAGCGTAGGTGGTCTGGCTTCCTTGCCTCCCACCGTCATCTGTGCGGTGGGGCCATGGCCGGCGCTCGCCGGCCACCCTCCGCACTCCCGCCCGCACGCCCTTGTCTTTACCCCAGCAGAGACGACAAAGGAGGTGTACAACGAGGTGGTCGGGAAGCTGTGTGTGCTCAATGGCATGGTGGGAAGGGATGAACGCTTCTTGGTCGCAGCCATTGACGACGCTCTTGGATCGTACACGCTCGCTGTGGGCGCCAGCGGCACGTCGCTTGTCGGCTTCGTGCTACCGCCACCAAAAATCGAGAACAACAAGCTGATCGGGACTGCCACAGCGCTGGGTAAGCATGGATGCGGGCTGATGGAATTACCTCTGCCTCCGGCAAAGCGGCAGAAGCCGCTCGTGGAACGCCAACGGGAAGCTGACGACTTGAAGTCCTTTCCACGTATGGTCCTCCATACGGCTGTGGTGCTCGGGGGCGGATTGAGCGAAAGCCAACTTGTCACCGCTGCGCGCGAGGCCCTGGAAGCTGCGGCTCCGCATACGCGTGTGACAACAGCCACACTCTTGAGTGCGCTCGGCTCACTGAGTGCTGTCGTTGTCGTCCGCCGTCCGACTGGGAGGGCGAACGTAGGCTCGATCGCACAGGATGCCATCCTGCGGTGGATGGCATCAGCTGGTCTGTGGCTGAACGATGTAGCCATCGAGAACGTGTGCAAGCGGGTGAACATGGTACCCGGACACCAGTGGACATCTGACGAGCTCAAGCGATGGCGTACTGATTGGGATCAAGCCGGCGAGGCTGAGCGTGTGCGGCAGGAGCTGGATGCTGCGTTTGGCAGACTCGAGACTTCGTTCAACGCGGACTGGACATTTGACACGTTCCCGATTAGCACTGATGGCTTGCTGGACTTCTTGGAAGCCACGCCTACGATGGCTGCCGCGACACTAACCCCGACGGTTGACGTGAGCGAGTTTCTCCGCTGACGCCTTGTCTCTTCCAACTCTCGACGCGGTAGCGCTCTAGGCGAACAGGCGCGTCCATGAACGTGTATGGGAAAGAGCAGGCCACTAAGAAGCATCGACATCAAGAGGTGCTTGTGGGTCTGTCGGAGCCGTGACGGTCTCCGACTCCCTGCCTCCCACTTGCTCACGGTCAAGGAGCGGTAAATGATGCGGCCCGCTGCGTGCCGCACTTCCGATCTCCTTTCAGCACTCAACACCTCCGGACAATCATCCCCCATCAGCCAGGCCGCCACTGATGCTAGCGACGACAGCCACGCCGCGGAATCTGCCCATCATCGCCCTCCGGCACCACACACCGGCCTGCCCGCCGGCCAGCCGCCGGACTATCTGGTCTGGGCCAGTCCACGCCCCTCGCTCCCCGCCACCTCAACCACCACCCAACCCCCTGCCCGACCGTCCAAGGCAGGCATTGTGGCGGACCTTGTCGCGCTCCGTCGTGAGCTAGCTCGCTTCCTCACTAGATAAGGGCTAGGGAGATATCGGTACTGGAGCGGGGCACCGGGATGGGCAACTCGCACTTCGGCAGCAGCGTCGCGTACTTGCTGCTGCTGACTCTTAGCGCAATCAAGGGTAAGTCCTGGTCGTTCATTTCAACCACGTCGAGCGCGACCGTTAATCGCCATGACTACCTGCGGCCAACGAGATAGAGCGCGCGGGAACGACGTTCATGACTCAAGATCTTTATCGCTTCTCCCTCAGGACGCCTGCAGCAGGCCAGCACGCTCGCCCACCGGCTCGTTTGGGCGCCGCATGTACCATACACCTGAAACCGAAAGAACAATACAGGCAGCAACACTTCCGGCAATAATCGCTATCGTGAGTGTGGAAGGGGGTGGAGATGACGCCGACGCAGATTGGGTGGTAGATCCAGAGGATCCTGACGTGGGATCAGTCGTGCCACCGCTTGATCCACTGCCACTCGTGCCGCCGCTCGATGTACCGCTCGAGCTGCTGCTTGAGCCCGATTCGACCTCCACACTTGCCGACCTCACCAGCAAGTCGCAAGTTTCAAAAACGTTCCCGCAGTGGTAGCCAATGGCGACGATAAACGACCCGCCATCCGGTGACCCGATATATCCCGAAGTACAGGACGAAGAAGAACAAGTACCGATCTTGTCGTGAATGTATGAAATGTCATTGCACTGCTCCTGGATGGTCTTGCCAGAGATGACATCAACAACAGCAAATGCAACATTGAAGTCGTCGTTGTCAGTACTGACAACATCAGTTGACGCGACAGCCAAAGCAGAGGGAGAGTTAATCATGCAGCACATCCATGTGGTATCATAGCTGAGGACTTGGAAGGAACCACTGTTGAAGTTGCAGCCGGCTCCCCATGTGCGACTTGTCATCACGTGAGCAGAGGCGCCCCCGAGCTCGTCCGCGCCCGACTGCGACAACGAAAAATGTGAGTCGATAGCAGACATGGTTCACCGGACAGATCCTCCCAACAGATGGCTTACATGCACCGACGCACCTCTGGCGGTGAGTACACAAGCAAATACAACCACAGCTATGACCTGAAGCAAGTGCATGTTATGTTCAAGTGTAATGCGAGTGGAGTGACTTGTGAAAAGATGCGCTGTGCGGCAGGAGCGGGGACGTGGTCCCATCCCAACTTTCACTCGCCTGCGACACCAAGGAGAATGGCGCGTCGCCACATGCACATACTGCTCACAGGCCCACATCGGTATCACCGGCCATTGTCGTTTCAGTAGTTGCTGTAGTAGTCCGTATCGACAGTTGCGAATGCCTTCAATGCTGTACTACTTCGAGCGTGAAATCGGCGCGGTTTTGACTCCGCGACGACTTCCGCTCGAACCCAATGGAGCCTCGTTGCCTGGCAACGAGTCGGAGCGGTAGCAATAGTACTCATTCACCCATGCACAACTTTGCCGAGAAGAGGAAGCAGGGCCTGGACGATAAGGCAGCCGACGCCAGATGTCAACAAAAGATGGTCGTTTGTCAGGCGTGTGGATGTCTATCGGGCTACCAAGATATCATCATCAGCGCGATAGATGTCATCAATAGATGATGTCGATGACGAGATCTTCGTAGGTGCACTCAAAGATGCTGAGGCAATGAAGACCAACTGCAGCAAACACCCGGGTGCCAGAAATGCCCCTTGCAGAGAACGTTGCCGTGGACGGCGAGTTAGAATCGAACGTCGGGGAGTTGAACTGCTGGAAGTAGTTTGTGAGCTTGGATGGATCTGCCCCGTTGCAATCGAAGCCGTTGGAGAAAAAGCCACCAATGACGGTTGCCGACTTGCTGCTGCTAGACAAGCTGATGTTGCCTTGGAAGCTGTTGACGGACTCTGGCAGAGGGCAGCACCAGACCATACCAGCCCGAGGATGGTCCGTTGTGACCGTGCCAAGGTCCATGTAGCACGGGAGGCTAGAGACCGTGGCGACGAACGCAGCGAGAACAAGCAAGGTAATCGTGATAGTCTGCATGCTGAGTATTACGACAGTAGACGTCGCGAAGAGTCTGGAGATAAGTGCAGGTATCTGTGATTTAGCCATCACGACTGCAACAGACTAATTTATCTGTCAACTTCGGCTGCAGCCACAAGCCACAATTCAGGTGCAACTGTCGATTCATACTGCTGCTAGCCTGCTGCAGCACTCGACTCTATCTGACAGGAACGTCGGCGCATTCGTAAGCACATGTGCATCATGTATGCTACAAAGGATCGTGGTGAACTTGCTGTGTGTGACACCTGAGTGGGATGCAGCACGAGAGTTGCCTGCTGACTTATTTGAGCGAGGGCGAGGAGCCCGAGGGTGGCGAGGTGTAGGAAAATGATGATGTTCGCTGTTTTTTCGGCCGTTGCTATTCTCTTTGCGAGGCCGACAACCAGCCAGAGCACGTACTACCGCTTCGCAACGCAGCAGCTCGAGACATCGAGCTGGTTTGCCTTCCCTGACGAGGCGGGCTGTGCTGCTGCGGCAGCTGTAGTTCCGGGTGAATGTGGATTCTCCTGCGCTGGCGGCGTCGGTACTTTCTCTGGCATTAGCGAGTCCGGGAGTGTTGACTATTGCTGGCTGCAACTCCCTCAGGGCTCCAGTTTCAGCAACTTTCAATTTGTTGCCAGCGGCTTAATTCCGGACAACAGTGACTGTACTGATGGCGGTTTCCCTATCTACGACAACACAGGCTGCCTTGTCTCATCCACAAGGGCAGTGGCTAAGGCGTTGTACTCGTCGTATGAAGAATGCGAGCTTGCGGTGGCGTCCATTGAGAAGAACAATCCCGGCACATGCTTGTACTCTTGCATGGGTCAGTTCTTGACTGTGGTTCCATATACCAATGCATGCCGTTTCCCATTCTGGTTCTTCGCTTTCGGGTACACTCCAACGACTGTAGAGTTCCTTCCGCCAACCTGGACGAACATCACCGAGACCTCCAAGCACAAGTAATCGTGTCCATGAGGGTGAAGAAGAGCTGTCATCAACAACCTCATCATACGACGTGTCTGTGCGATCGATGGTGTTGGTGGGGGACTGAGACCTCGTTGTGATCATGGCTACCGTTCCGTGATTGCAGCTCACGGGTGCTCTTCGCTTTCTCGGGCTCAAAGGATAAAGCTCTACGTTTTCCAAAGTACTGACTCGTGTTGGAAGCAGGTCTCAAAGACAAACACACACACACACCTTCCCTTGCAGACGGCTACTGCATGTGCGCGGGCGAAGCAGTGTCGACGTTTACTACCGCAATCGGGCTCAGTCAGCTGTTGATGCCTCGGCTAGCCATCTGAGCCTCTTCAAAGTACCGAATGCCTTGGGACATGGAGCCAGCGCAGCAGAAGCAAGAGCCGTAACCGCCCAGCGGGATGAGGAAGAGCATGACGAGCACAATGGCTACCACGGTCCCGTTGACGCCTGCGGCGAGAATGACGGCTCCGACGATCATGTCCACAACCAGCGTCATGCCAAGGAGAATCCGGAAGATCATGAGCAGCGACCGCGACTGCAAGCCAGCGCCGGCACCTCCGCTGGCCGCCAGTGCCAGATGCCAACCACCGATGACTTGCACAATGGTAGCAAGGGTCTTGAGCTGTGGATCGGCCGCGCACGAGTTGATGTCGGTGTTGCGGAACGAGCTGCAGATCTTGGACGCAATGACGAGAAGGGCAATGGCAAAGGCGACAAGGAAGAACGAGCCCACAAGGATCTTCATCCGGCTGTCCTTGATCTCCTGCTTTCGCCGCACGTCATCCATCGAGGCCGGTGCCCGCAGCAGCGGGGCGGACTCGGCCGCAACGACGGGTCGGCCACCCATCGTCGGACTCGAAGCCGTGGATTCTGGGCCGTGCGGAGCCGGTACCCCAGTCCCCGGATAAGCGTTCCCGTTCGAAGAGGTCGCCGGTGGAGCGGAAACGGTCGATGCGGTGACCGATGGGGTCGTCGTCGCTGTGACTGGTTCGGGAGGCCCGGACAATGGCTCGACGCCACCCATCGTCGCACTCACAGCTGGTGCCCAAACGCTTGAAAGGGCATTTCGGGTCGGAGTGGTCGTCGCCGGTGGAGCGGACGAGGTCGAAGTGGCGACCGATGGTGAGCCAGAAAACGGCGTCGTCGCTGCGACGAGTTCGGGAGGCCTGTGCAATGAAGTTACAGGGGCTTTGGCCAGCACGCTGGCTTTTTCAGCACCTCCAGAAGGTTCCACACGGGTTGCAGACTGGCCAGCAGCAGGTGGCTGATGAACTTCAGCTTGCATGTTGGCGTCAGCAATCACAGCATTCTGTGCGCTCCTGAATTCCTCCCCCCTCCCCCCGGCCTTGCGTGAGTGAGTCACATCTCGCCCTATGATCGTGAGCCTGGTACACCTTGCGACGTCAGCCAAGGCTGCTTCATTGCAGTACTTCATCCTCAGGTCGGCGTCCGCCCAGGAGCATACATATTCTGATGAGAGAGGAGAGTGACAGCTCAATTTCTCATTGTCGAAGTACTGCAGTTGCATAAAATAGGGGTTAGCAATCGATGGCTATCGGGCTGCAAGTCATCAGAAGCAGCTGGCATCTTGGATGCTGAGCTAGGAGGCTATCAACGACGTGTGCTGAGTGGCTTGGAATCGCGACGGATACGTCGCGGAAACAGCCACTAGTACCATTCCCCAGCGGGTACATGCGTAGTCGAGAAACTAGAAACTCTCGAGCTGTCGCTCCGCTTGCTCGACCAGCAAAGCCTCGCGTTAGCCCTCATCATCAGTATCCTCCACGCAACTATCAAGTAGTCAATCACATCTGCGCTGCCAGAAAGTGCCGCGAATAGATGTCTATCGGGCTTTGAAGTGATATCGATGAAATCGCTCTCGGCTGACCGCAATGCGCTGCTTCGATGGCTCTGAGAACTCCCACCATGCTTCACCTGATAGGTAGTTCATCGCTCTTGTGGCAATGCCCGTCAATGATGGCGAACAGGGGCAAGTGTGTGGTGGACCAACTCGTGGCTCAAGGCGTGAACACCAACCCCATCTCGATGACCACCCACTAGCGCGATTAGCTCGAGCTGTCACCATTGAGGCCGGCTTCGATAGATGTCGTCTAGTCGTCACAGCGTAGCACTAGCATCATGATGGGTGCCCTGAGAATGAAATGGGTTGGAGGGGTTCATGGTTGGTATGATAAGCAATGTCACCCTGCCCCGCACAGACTCTGGGACATGTTTATCTCGATGTCAATTGGTGGGGCGGATCATTACGCCCAGAATAGACTTCGAATCGCCAGCTCCCACATACAACTGACCCGGATTGAGCTGGTAGCACTTGGTTGGGCCACCAGTCACCAGGTTGAAGTTGACACCAGCCGTAGTACCACTAGTAGTAATAGTATCGGTTGCCAGGCCAAGGTAGGTCAGCTCACCAGTTTCTGCCACACTGATTAAGACTGTTGAGCCCTTGTAACACCCTACGTACGTCTGTGAACCAGCCTGATTTTCTGGAACCCCATTTTGGGCATTGAGCCCACTTTGGAAGTGATAGATAGTACTGTTCGTATAGTAACCTGCTACCGACTCCTCGAGTTTCACGGACCTCGAGTCAACAACCAATGTGAGACGACGATGCCCTCGGTCTACGTTGGCTGTCCCCTGCACCACCCGGGCCAGCTGTTGCGTTGCCAGCAGCCAATGTCCGTCAGCCCGCATCTCGAGCTCGAGCTCGAGGTCGGTGACCAGCAGCGACGAGGCAGCGAACGACAACGAGTCGAGGCGGAGGACCAGACTGGTGCGGTTACCGGTAAGCTGGATCCCTGAGGTCCGGAGAGGCGCAGCTGCTGGTCATATCTGCAGAGCCAGCTCGGATCGACCGGTACCGTGGACCAGCTCCAGCGGGATGGCCAGCATGCCCATCGTTGCCGCCATCGGCCCGCTCCCGTGGCTCCTCCCCTCCTCGCCGTCGCCCACCAGAATAACAGACGAAGGACTCTGGCATTTGCCATGGCGCATGCCATCTATCCAGCCGCCGGTGACTCGGTGTCGCGACCATCATCATCAGGAAAGTCATCGTGTGGCTGACGCAGCGTTGTGGCGGAGCACACGGACTCCGCCACATTTTTCCGACGCAACCTCCGCAAACACCCGCTCTCGCGACTCCGGACGGGAAAGCTCAGCATCACTCTCTCTTTCTCTGATATCACCATGTCCGCCTCTGCCTTTGAGCTTCCGCCGCTTCCTTACGCTATGGATGCGCTTGCGCCGCACATCTCGCAGGAGACGCTCGAGTATCACTACGGCAAGCATCACCAGGGCTACGTCAACAAGCTGAACAAGCAAATTCCCGGGTCCGAGTACGAGGGCAAGTCGCTGGAGGAGATCGTGACGAGTGCGAGCGGTGGTGTCTTCAACAACGCCGCCCAGGTGTGGAACCACTCGTTCTACTGGCAGTGCCTCAGCCCGAACGGCGGCGGGAAGCCCGTCGATGGGCCCTTTGCTCAGGCTCTCGTCGATGCTTTTGGCTCCATCGACGCCTTTGTCGACGCATACTCTCAGGCCATCGCCACTGTCTTTGGCTCGGGCTGGGCCTGGCTGGTCAAGAATCAGGACGGCAAGCTGGAGATCGTCTGCACCAAGGACGCCGGCTGCCCCATCACTGATGGCCTCATCCCCATCCTCACCTGTGACGTCTGGGAGCACGCGTACTACATCGACTACCGCAACTCGCGTCCCAACTACATCGAGGCCTTCTGGCAGCTCGTCAACTGGGACTTTGCCGCCGCACAGTTTGCTGCATGAGCTCGCCAGACGGCGGCGCCGCACAGACACGCTAGACAAAGACCATGGTCATGGTAAACCTATCCTTCTTGAGCAAGGCGGCGATCAGGTGGCGATCGGGTGGCCTGTGTGGCGGAGGCGGTGGCGGAGCAGCGCCGCGCAAAAAATGAAAGCAACAACTCCGCGCGCCGTACCTCTACCACGCCACACGCCTCACGCCGCATCCTCACCACATCGCCACGGATACCATGTCTCGCAAGCACCAGAACGATAGCCGCATCCCGGTCACAGTTCTTTCTGGCTTCCTCGGAGCCGGCAAGACGACGACACTCAACAAGCTGCTCTCGAACAAGGCCGGTGCCAAGCTGGCGGTCATCGTCAACGACATGTCCGAGGTCAACGTCGACGCCATGCTCGTCAAGCAGAGCAAGGACGAGATGATTGAGCTCTCCAACGGGTGTATCTGCTGCACCCTGCATGGCGATCTCCTCGACTCCATCGCCGCAGTCGTCAAAGAGCGCTCCGTTGACGGCCTCGACGGCATCGTCATCGAGTCCACCGGCATTTCCGAGCCGCTACCGGTGGCGCAGACGCTCTCACTCGACCCTGCCGAGCTTGGCGACGACAGCCTGACCTCGGTTGCTGATCTGGTGTACGTCGATACGATGGTGACTGTGGTGGACGGGCCGGCCTTGCTGGCCCGGCTCGCCGCCGGCGAGGATCTCATCAGCCTGAGCATGGCCGAGAACGACGACGACGATCGGACTGTCGCCGACCTGCTCATCGACCAGATCGAGTTTGCCGACGTCATCCTGGTCAACAAGGCTGACGTCGCCACCAAGGACGAGATCGACACCGTCGTGGCCCTTGTCCGCCGGCTCAACAGGAATGCGCGCGTCATTACCACCATCCACGGCCTCGTCGAGCCTAAGGCCATTTTCGGCACCCGCCGATTCAATCTTGACGTCGCTGAGACCGCGCCTGGCTGGCTCCAGGAGCTTCTTGGTGTCCACACTCCCGAGACGGAGGAGTATGGCATCTCCTCCTTTGTCTATCGCAGCAAGACGCCGTTCAGTACGCAGCGGATGTTCGATCTTGCAGACGCCGACGACACGCCGTTTGGGCAGACCGTCATCCGCGCCAAGGGCTTCCTCTGCTCACTCCTGACGAGATGGCTCTCGGCCCTGAGGCATGGGCTGACATGGCTGATCCGCTTGAGGAGTGGGACGGTGGGCTGTCGCACCGTCCAGCGAGTGGCCGGAAGACCCCATCATGCGCAAGGAGATCAAGAAAAACTGGGATCCGCGCTGGGGCGATCGCGCCACAGAGCTCGTCTGTATCGGCGTCAACATGGACAAGGCGGTCATCACAGAGGCCCTCAATGCATGTCTGCTCACTCCTGACGAGATGGCTCTCGGCCCTGAGGCATGGGCTGACATGGCTGATCCGCTTGAGGAGTGGGACGATGCGACCGAGGCGCATGGCGACAATCACCAGCACTAAAGCTGGATGCCGGCCTGATCCGAGAGAATGACAACGAGATCATGCCCATGATAGGCAGCTCGGACAGAAAGCCAGCATGCTCCTCTCCCCCATCCATCGCCAAACCCATCCATTCCATGGATAATCATATTTTTTCTCGTCCAACTCAATCATCCCCCTCCAAGCACCACACACACGTACAACAACCCCAAACCTCATTCTCACAACATTCATAACCCATCACACTGCCTCTCAACCGAGCCATCAATCTCCTCTGCCATCACTTCCTTTTCCCACCACTTGGCCCATCCATCGTCAGCCCCGGCTCAAAACCATTTCATTGATCGCTCCGCCTCACTCCGCCCGACTTCCCCGCTTCATGTCCCCACGCCCTTGCCGGCAATACTTTGTTTACACTTATCAGTCAAGGCCCTCGACCTCGTCGACCGACTCGTCGAGGATGGCGGTAAAGTGATCCTGCAGCTCGTTGTATTTTGCGGTGACGGCCTCGAGCTTGATGTTCGCCGCAGCGAGCTGCTCCCGCTGAATACGGTTGGTCATCTCGAGAATGTCGTTCTGGGCGCGGATGGCATCGCGTTCGCCGTATGCCTCGTCGCGCGTCTTGACCGTCTCTTCGTGGGCTTTGAGCGCGTCGTGCATCTTCTTGCTGAGCGTGTCGTGATCGCGCTGCGCGTCACGAACCTGTCGCGACGCCTCTTGCAACTGCGTCCGGAGCTCGTCGCGCTCGTCGGCGAGCGCACCCATCTCACTCTGCAGTGCAGTCTCGCGTGCCCGACTTGCCTCGAGCTCGGTGGTGAGCCGGGCGATGGTCTCGTCGCGATCGCGCTGCTCCTCGCTAGCTGCGGCAAGGAGCTCATCACGGGCGGCGAGCTCTGCCTTGAGCGCAGCGAGCTCGGCGGACTCTGCGGGAGCGGGGTCGTCTCGAGATGGCGGCGGCGAGGCCAGTGGCTGCGAGGCGGGTGATGCCGGGCGGAGTGGGGCAAAGCTGAGCGGCGAGACAACGCTGCCCGGTGCAGCGACCGTTTCTGAGCCGAGCAACGGACACGAGTCGGCGAGCTGCTGGGTGGCGACCTCAGCGACAACGACGCTGCGCGGGAGCGAACCCGAAGCCGAGAGCGTCGGTGGCGGGGTGCGTGCCTCCATGGCGGCTTGAAGGACGGCGAGGGTGCCATCGGCAGCTCCGGGCTCACTGGTAGCCCAGGGAAGTGAGCCGACGACATCAACCGGGCGGAGACCCTCAAGGTTGTAGGCGTAGGGCGTGGCGCCAGCACCCAGCAGCGCCCGGACGGCAGCTAGGTTGGAGCCGGCGGCAGCGCGATGCAGCGGCGTATCGCCGGACAGATTTCTCGCCTCGACGTCGAGTGCACGGGTTCGGGGTGGGCTGTCTTCGCGTGTGAGCTTCAGTATGGCGGTGAGGACGTCAGGCGAGGAGGCGACGGCCTTGTGCAGCGGTGTGTCGCCGGCGATGTTCGTGGCGGTCACGTCGGCGCCAACTGCCAGCAGCCAGCGGACACACTCGGCGTGGCCGTGGTAGGCAGCGAGATGAAGCGGAGTCCATCCGGATCCATCCCGTGCGTCAAGCAGCGACCGCGCTGCACGCATGGGCGAGCCGCTCGGTGGGCTCGTCTCCACCGCCACCGGCATCGAGCGCCGGACGGGAGACGCGCCGGTGCCGTCGCCAATGGTCCCGCCTTGGCTCTCAGCACCAGCCTGGGCGTCAGCACCAACCTGGGCATCAGTACCAGCCTGGGCATCAGCACCAGCCTGGGCATCAGCACCAGCCTGGGCGTCAGCACCAGCCTGGGCATCAGCACCAGCCTGGGCGTCAGCACCAGCCTGGGCATCAGCACCAGCCTGGGCATCAGCACCAGCCTGGGCGTCAGCACCAGCCTGGGCATCAGCACCAGCCTGGGCATCAGCACCAGCCTGGGCGTCAGCACCAGCCTGGGCGTCAGCACCAGCCTGGGCATCAGCACCAGCCTGGGCGTCAGCACCAGCCTGGGCATCAGCACCAGCTTGCCCGTCTCCACCGTTTCCTCCGTCTCCACCGTCTCCACCGTCTCCGCCGTCTCCGCCGTCTCCGCCGTCAGCGACCAGTCCATCTGCACCGACCTGTCCGTCTTCAGCGACCTGTCCGTCTTTGGCAACCTGGACCCCCTCTACGACATGTCCGTCCCCAGCAAGCTGTCCCCCTTCAGCGACCTGTACCTCCTCAGCGACCTGTACCCCCTCAGCGACCTGTCCCCCCTCAGCGACCTGTCCCCCAACGCCCCCATGGCCGACCCCCTCCTGACCGACCTCCCCAGCAGGAGCAGGTGGGCGTGGAGGAGGCAGGCCGACGGCATGGGCAAGGGCCACCACATCGCCTGCCGTGGCAGCAGCAAGGACTCGGCTAGTAAGCGAGGGAGATGCCGCTCGCATGGGTGGCTGTAGTGTGTGTCAGGAACAATGGCTTGGGCCTCCCTCCGGTTGGCCTCGGCGGCGGATTGGCGACACGTGCGTGGGGTCAGGCGAGGTGGGAGGGAGAGGGGGGAGGGGGTCGGGGTGGGTGGGGGTGGGTGGGGGAAGGGGGGGTGGGGAAGGGGCGGCTGACAGGCGATGGAATGGTGGGCGCCAGGTTTTTGGGCGGTACGGTATTTTTTTTCTCGGGGAAGGCAAGGGGGGGGGAAGGGCGGGAAGGGGGGAAGGGGGGAAGGGGATGGAGAGGGGAGGGG